ACATGCAATGTCATGCATATGAATCCGAGCATTCCAAGCCCCCGCTATTGATGTTACACATCCAATGACCATTTTATAAAATAAACCATATGTCTTTCTTGCGTACATGAATTTTGGTATCTCACCACCAGTTTTGTGACACCAATACACTTTTTAGACTTGCACAGACGAAAGTATATAAACCGGTAACCGGGTTTTGCACCCGAGGGAGAATATAACCCTTCTTACTACACCCGACACAAGTTTTTCATATAACTGTGAACTCAGCCGAAACTAGGTCCAACCTTCCCGAGTCCATGCCTCAACCACCAACAATGGTGTTTGATCTAAATATGCACACACACACACACACACTCACACTCATGTCAAATGCCCACGAATGCGATGCTTCCCGTGCATATGTAAATATAATGTACACTTGCAATTTCATTATCATGTTCACATGTCATGAGCTCAATATGAACATCTTAAATATCCTTCAACCTTTGTCCATGGTCAATTACATCATAAGCATGTAACCACCATCAATAAGCTCAATGTCAATATATCATAATGCATATATGATGAGTGTGTAATATTTCATATTTAATGGTCTCATTACATATATTTTAACTTAACTTTGCATTGAATTACTTAGAGTTAGCCTAATTTATGAATAATGTTGAAAATTTGATGTTGCAGGTAATCATAGCGTAAATGATGGCTTTTGGAACCCTGCAAGTAAGTGTGGATGAGTGGTGAAGAGATGGACACATTACATGAGGATCGGGACGCTTGAAAGGTGCAGAAATCAAGAAAAATACAATTTGGATGAAAACCTTCCACAAGGTTGGGTCACAAACCTTCCGGAAGGTTTAGCCCACTAGAATTGGTATCAGTACCTCTGTTTTCCCCATTTTTGACCATTATCCACTTCGAATCTAAAAATTTTCAAAACATGAAAGTTGTAAATCTAGATGTCCTCTATATTGTGTCAAAATGCCAGCCCAATCGGAAGGTTGGATCAAAAGTTATGAAATATTTATGAAAATTGGTCCTGAATTGGCAACTTCTGGAAAGGTTTAGCCTACTGGAAACAACCTTCCAGAAGGTTTGCTTCGACCTTCTGGAATGTTTTGCCCAGAAACGCCAAAAAACTTGTAACTCATGCTCCACTTGCTTGGAGGTCCCACCTATGATTCTCCCACTTGTCCCTTGACATATTTTACATACATACATGTCTCTTACACCCCAAAATCAGCCTTGGAAGATAGATGATAGGAAAGGGGGCGAGAGAAGGATGGAGGCATGGTGGGTGCAGGCTAGGCTTGTCCTAGCTTGTCCAAAGCCAATCAACTCACCTCCCATTGATGGGAGGCCTGCATACAGGCTATAGGGAGCCTCATGGATGAAAATGCAAGAGCTCTACACCATATATTCAACATTCACACAAGCTTTGGGAGAAAAGAGGCTATCTAAGCTTAGGAGTAGTTTTTGAAGAGATAAGTTCCAAGGAAGAAGATGAAGTTCTAGAGAGAGAAATTTATATTTTTGCAGTTTCTTCTCCATTTCAGTTGTAGCAAGCTTTAAATCACTTGTAATATTTACTTCTTGCACTTCAATCTCATTTATTGCAATTATATTTCAAGTTTAGCTATGCATTCAATATTCTACCATTGTTGTATGAGTTTTTTCACTTCAAGCTTTTAAAATGGGTAGTAAATAGACTTCTTCATAGTAACTTTTCTTGCACTGATTCAAGTTCCAATCTTCATTTCTTCATTATGTCTCTTTACATTATGCATGTCTTTCCTTTTATTATGAGTAGCTAAGCTTTAAGTTGGCTAATCCAAGGGAGAACTCCTCTTGGGTATGCTAAACTAACTCTTTTTCATTCCTCCTCGTAGTGTACGACGGTTTAGTTTGACTAGGTTGAGTGTGGACGTGGTTGTGAGTTCTTGATACACCGTAGACTTGTCACGGGGTATGCTTGAATCCTTACCTCCATTTTAGTCCCGCACTTCCTACGAATTAATCGAATGTTTATGCACCATTGGAAGAATGTATTGAGTTGAGTTGACATTCCCATTGGAATGACCTCTTTGGATTAGCCAACACTTGTTTTCATTTCATTTTCATCAAGAACACAATCACCAAAACTCAAACTCAAAAGATTTTATACTTTTCCATTTTTACAAAATCACATTCACACAATTCACCTTCCTTCCCTGAGGAGATGACCTTGGAATACGAATTCCAAGTAAAACACGACACTCAAAAGTCTCTCTACGCTTAGGGAGCACTTTTGTTCACACACACATTTTGTTCATTCACACCCATTTTCCCATTTCTAGCATTGAACCTGGGAGAGTGACATTCCCCTACACACAAAAGCCACATACACATTTGAGGGTTCATGTTCGGAAATTAGGAACACACGGAAAGAACTCAAGCAATATACCAACATCAACTTCCAAGCATGTCATAACATAATCAATGCAAATAACACAGTTAATCCACATAGGTATTTCATTAAACACCTTCAAGACATAAATGTAAACACTTAGCATGCCCAATCAATACGTTTCACAAGGAATCACAAACAAGTAATATCTAAATACCCAATTCATGATAGAATTGATTTTAACCTTTCTCAATACCCATTTTTTACATTTCAACTACCATTGGTATGTGACATACCATGAGCACAATATGAACATTTCCAATTTCTTAATATAATCTATATCGTAAAACATATAATTACATTCCAACATCATCATATTCCCAAATTGTCAATTTTATCAAAAGCATATAATTACAATCCACATTTTCACCAAGTATGTTATAACTTTTTTAGTGGAACCAACATGCTACATCAACATAGGTATTTTATCAAACACCCAAAAGACATACAATCATGTAACACACAACCATACCCAATTTATCACATTTCTCATGAATTTATCAAACGAGTAAATTCTACAAATCCAATTCATGCAAGATTGGTTTAGCATATTTCTATACCCATTTCTTATACTCTAGTTACACTAAGAGTATATCAAACAAGATAATTCATTTCAAGTCATGCTACCCATATCATATGGAACCTTAGGCTGAAAATAAACCTAATTAGGAAAACAACCATACCTCTTGAAGTGTAAAACAAGTGGTAGAAAGCCTTCTAAGACCCAAATCAAGCTTTAATCCTTAATTTTCAAAAATCCCGTCCTTTAAACTTTGTCAAAATTTTTGATTTTTTGTATGGTTTTGTAGTCCACTTCGAGTTAAAACAATCTTTGTTCTTGACCCGAGGTGATTCAACCAAAGGAAAGTTGTAAATCATAGAGAGAAATTGAAGAAACCCTTCCTTTTTCCTCTCTTCCCTCTCCAACAAAAATCTTTTGAGAATTGGGGAAGAAATCTGAATTTTTTTCCCCTTTTATACCTTCCAAATACTTGGCCCTCGTTGTGCCACATGGTCACCTTTCCTAAGTCTGATTTTGTCCCGAATCAATTAAATTTTTCTCGGTTCAAGTTTAAAATATTTTTATTTGAACTAAATTTAAATTATTTTTCACTTTTTATAATTTAATTTCCGGTCTCATTTATTTAGGTCACGCGACACCTGATGGCTTCGTAAAACACAAAAAATCCGACTGTCTCGGAATTTGACGAAAATTGAGTGGATAACTAGATTTTGCGAGACGAATCCAAATGTAAGGTCCGTTTTGTCATCCGAGTTCTAGAAAAATTCGGGTTTTCAACCCATATCGTAGCAGCTAATTACTGTTTTGCCATTTTTCATAAAAAAAATTCTGAATTTTACAAAATCTAAAATTTGTAAGTCAAATACAACTCAACCACTGACATAGCTTGGCCAATGCAATTTTACATTGAAATCTTAGCTTGCATTTTGTAACAGGATCATCCTTGTCTTTTATTATCTCATCAAAATTTTCAACAATTGTGTACATACCTTGTGAAAGTTTTACCTTCTTGAGGTCAAGGGTTGAAGTACTATCTCCCTCTCAAAAAAAAAAAAAAAATTTGTACATATGTTGGTATATTTGGCAATAATTATATATATATATATATATATACACAACATATGTAGAGCCTTCAGATATGTTGTGTATATATATATATACAACATATGTATTTTGAATTCAAATTTATATATTATGGAAATCTTTTCAAATAGGCTCCCTCCTTTATTGCATCGGAAAGTCTTGCCATGTGGAAGAGATTCTGAAACAAATTCTTTGCCTTTTGAGCCACAAAGCCAAATCAAAATCCCTAAAAATAGAAGTTGATGTGATTTTCTCTTTTCCCTCCTCTATATTTGATTCCATATTTCTAAGCCATGAAAACCACCATGATGCCTATAAAATTGGATTTAGCATCGATGGAATTCTACTCTGAAAGAAAAGCTTAATTCAACTAAAATAAAAGGGGGATCCTCCCAATATAACCGAATCCCAAGCTTCCCAAAAATGTCTTGAAAACACTTAGTGAAGTTGTTTTGTTCAAATTTCAAATACTATGTAACTAATATGAGAAGTTATCTCCAACTTTAATGGTGAATATTTTCGGTTATACTGTGACTTTAGGATCGGCTCAATGCCTCTGACGAAGAAACTCCACTATTAAATTGCATTTTCATCTTACAAAATCATTATCTCCTTCAAGCCCTACAAGTTTGCGCTATGGACATCTTAACCCAATTATACCCAATTATTGGTAATAGTGTACCTATCTCCAAAAATTCCTTTTTTTTTTCCTTGTGGATCTGTTGGAATTGTTATTAACTAGGTAATATTTTTTACTTTTTGCTGTGTCATGGTGATTGATAGTGGTGATCAATGCAGCTTCGTCATTGGCGTATGACATTTACTCAATTATGCTTACATCAGTACCGATTAAAACTTATTTTCCTCTTTTAACTTTTTTCTGTAGATTATTGTTTTTTTTTTCAAACTGCTGAAACTACGGTATTTTTGTTTGTTACATATTGGCTTCAGGTAAGTTGAAAAGAAGATCAAGGGAACTCAGAGAGAGTGAAACAGGACTACATCATAGTGGCCAACTGCCCTGGCACCGTCTATTGCTTCTGTTTGAAAGGAGTCGGCCCAACTACCATACACCCATTGCAGCTAATACGATCCCAGTGAACAAACAAATGACATGCAGTTTTGGAGATCGATGAGCAGAAAACAGTACGCTTATGAACTACACAATTAGAACAGCATTACAGACATCTCCAATTTCTTAAATCCAGACGCAGAAAGAGAACAGAAAGCATCATTGCAAGGTAAACTTGTTTTCCTAATTGGATCTTCTCATCAATTAATACATAAAGCAAATCAAAACCAGGTGGGGAGAATGTGGTGGCCGACTTGGTAGTGGGACAACAAGTAAAACAAGCCACCATACACTTAACAGCAATCACTAGCACTTCAGTGGAGACATAAATAACCTCCTGCTCCCTCTGAGACAAAGGGGAAAAAGACACAAAGGGCAGAATACAACGAGAATGGTTGAACAATCATCTCCTCTAACTATTTGTCATCACAATATGAAGCATGCTTTTTGCGCCTTGCTTTTTTTTCTCTTCTGCTTCGGAGGCTGGAGCACAACTTTAATGGCAGCATCAAAAACTGCTTTTACATTCTGCATCAACAAAAACACCTTCAACAGCGCCCTTTTTAAAGGGCAAAAGACAATTTCACATCTGAAAAAAAGACAGCATATACAATGTGTATCCGTACCTCTTGTGTCTTTGAACTACATTCAATGTAAGCAGGGGCACCAATTGTCTTCCTCAGCTCCTCCCCCTTTAAATAGAAATATAAAACAATAAACATTAAAGGAACCAAAGAAAATTGTTCCCAGTTGGTAAATATGGGGAAAATTTAGCAGTAGTCTTCTTCTCCCTCCCTAGCAGGAATCTTACCTGAGCCGTAGTAATGGGCACAGCACCAGGATGGTCTATAAAGAATTGCTTGTCATCCCGAAGATCTGAGTCCATTACAATAGGAAACCATGAAGCATGACATCTTATCAGTACATCACATTCTTCTTCCTTAACAACAGTAGACCACAGAATGATAGTACAAAGACAGTCTTGATTATCATTATATAATCCGCAACTTTAAATTTGACTATGACTGCCTCACTTATCAGTAGCTTGCTTTCCAATCACATATAGATACATAAAAGAGAAGAAAACACACTAACAAGTACAATGCAATGAAACTTTTAGAAATAGGACAAAAAAAGCAATAAAGGCACTAATAAAAACACAACAAAAACTGTTTGGGGACTTACTCAATTGAGTTCCAATATGTCCTTATCATCTATTTTATTTATCCCTCAATTTTCTTTCAGTTTATTTTCCATTAACAAGATTACCCGATCACTTAATTGTTCAGTAACTTTTATCCTTCTTGTCACGTCTTTCAAGATCTACAGACGAAGAAGAAGATTGGTATGGGGTTGTACATAAAGATCGCCATAATGGAGATTGTTCAGTAAAACTGGTATTATTCACCAAACTTCCTATGCTTACACATCCCAACATAATGGAGATGTTGTGCATAACGATCGCCACCTATTGGAAGTTACACGTGCACTTGTATTCCATATGAATGTTCCTCTTATTTTTGGAATGATTCTGTTCTTATTGATTGTTATCTCATTAACCGAATGCCTTCGTCTGTGTTGAATGTGCAAAATCCATATTTTGTCCTCTCTACCAAGTCTCCCTTGTTTTCCTAACTTAGAATCCGAGTTTGATAAACTTGATCCTCATGCTACCATGTATATCTTTTTTGGTTACTCTCCCGCACAAAAGGGGTATTGTTGCTTTAGGAAACCAAATCAATGTTGAGAAGCTTCAGAAACTATATGTGATTTTGATTCTCCAACAACCATATCTTAGAGATTAAACAGAACAGGACAAGGATGGATCTTAATAGACAAGTTTGCTATTCCAAACTCGGGGAAGATTTGGAGTGAGGTCAGAGGCAAAGGTACCAAGTTTTTCTTACCATCAAAAAACACAAAATACATAATGCATTCTTTCACCCATCCTAATCCGTTAGCAAGTTGCTCACAATCTGGATGCTCTTAAGCCAAAGGAAATATGAACTTTCTCCATCAGCCTCTATTTTGTATAACTTATGGTCCGTTTGGAACGAAGGATGAAAATGTGAAAGGATGGAAAAATAGGAAGAATAAATTGTCCATCCTTGAAGGAAAGAAGTATTTTTTTCATTCTTCATAATTGGTAGGATGGATGGAAAAGTGGAAGAGATAGATTTTTTTACTATTCTTTTTTTATGAGAAAACAATAAAAAAATAATCATTGCTAATTAAATATCACAAATGCCCTTAAATAGATTATGAATATTAACTTTTATCAATAGTTATTAATAAAAGTCGTCAACCCCATTGTTGACACCTTGTCAATCATTGTTTTTCATTTTCCTTCATATTTGGAGTGATCCAATTTTGTGGAGGGAAGGATTCCTTTTCCACCCTTTTTTTCCTTGACCTCCATCTTTCCTCCCGAACCAAACAGAGAAAAGTTACCTTTTCCATCCATCCATTTTTCACTCGTACCAAACAGATTGGTAAGTTAGCACCTCTTTTAGTCGGTATGTTCTTGATGAAACTTAAGAAATGTAAGGGCAATGTAGAAAATTGAGAAGACTTGAAACAAATAACAGCAGGAAAAAGGAGACAATACAATACCAAGGCGCTACATGTATCACCCATAGTAAGATATGAATCTAAGGTCTTACATGCATGACATATCAACTAATTCAGAAGTCTGTTAAAGCCAATTTAGTTGCACATGAGATCAATAAGATCACAACCTCATCCCATTTCTACAGGTACATGACAGGAAAAAAAATTCATAAGCAACCTCATCACAGATCAAAAGAAAACAACTGTGTGAAGGAAATACATTCAATAGTGGGAATGAAATGAGATCAAAGGAAATCTCACCAAGTTTTGTTCCAACGAGAACAATTGGGACACCAGGGGCATAATGCTTCAACTCAGGAATCCACTAAAACCAGGGACAAAGCACGATCAGATCACTAAAACTTATTGCGTAATGGTCAAAGCTCTTCACTCAAAAGGGGAAAGAAATAAGAAAATTTTGAAATAGATTCAATGAATCCTTACCTTCTTTGCAACATTCTCATAACTAGCCTTGCTTATAAGAGAGAATGCCAAAATGAAAACATCGGCCCCACGATAACTCAAAGGTCTTAATCTATTGTAATCCTCTTGTCCTGTTCCACATAAACCAATATTGGCACCACAATCATAGCACAAATATAGTTTGAAATTTCAAGGGTATTAAATTTCAAAGGTATTAAATTTCAAGACTATAAAACCAAATGATGACATTTCAAAAAGTTACCAGCAGTATCCCATAAGCCTAAATTAACGGTGCTCCCATTGACAACTACATTTGCACTGAAGTTATCAAAAACAGTGGGCACGTAGTCCTGTTTTGCACCATAGAGAAAAAGCAATGATTACTGAAAAAGCTCCAAATATTGGAAAGTATATCCCTGAGCTGTTCCCAATAAAAGGGAAAAAAAACATATACATCCCTATAAATTCAAATCAAAATATAAATGAAAAATCTAATACAAGAACAGATGTCAAAAAGCAACATAAACAACTACTTAATTTTAACAAATCCATAAAGGTTTTTGTTTCCATTTTTTAATGCAATCATAAAACATATTACATAGAAATATAGCATTGTTTCAACGAAATCCTCAAAATTAATCCGGATAAGAGACAACACATGATTAGGCTAGCAATAGAAATGACACAATTTGAAAATCCTGGTGAAAACCCTAGCGAAAAGCAACCATGGCAAATAAAGCACACTTGCCAATTCCCTCTTGGTGCCATCTTTACCACACTTGCAGCCTACCAAATAACTAGTCACTATAGAGTTTCTTTTCCTTTCATTTTCTGCGAGGTCGAATATACAGACAGAGATGAATGTTTAAATCACCGATCACAAACAGAAAACAAAACCACTTCGTCGACCAAAGGCACACAAACAGAGCAATTGAGAATTCGTTTTCACTTTTTTCTTGTTGGCAATCATTACGAAATTAGTCAGCATATATTAATAATGATTACGAATGGTATTATGTTTTTGGAAGTACAAATGGCATTATTTTAACTGCTCGAGCTGGAAAGAAACATTAGACCCAATTGAACAAAGCTAGAAATACGAAACGTTAACTCACCGTGGGAAAGGTGTTGCTGGTGTAGGAAATCAACAGACAAGTCTTACCAACAGCTCCGTCACCGACTGTGACGCATTTTATGAACCTGGAAGCGCTCATTTCAGCCCCTAAGGCTCAGATCTTCTTCAGAAGACCTGATCACCAAGTTCCTTCAGAATCTACTCAGTTCACCCCTCTCGTTTCCGATTTCCTTCAATCAAACGTCTCAACACTCACAGAAACAAGGCTAATTTGCTTTTCAACGAAACACTATCCCTAATTAGAAGTGAATGCCAACTAATGTAAGTACCAAATGTGAAGCCACACCCTAGAGGAGCAATGGAATTATTGGGGATCGAGATCTGTAAAGAGATGGAGAGAGCGAGGAGAGAGAGTCTGTTATATATGAGCGTACCTTTCTTAGCCGAAAACAATGCCTTTGAAGCGTTCGCGGGGAGGACCAAACCTATCACGTGTATCTGCCCCCAAAATCGTACTGTGATCGGTTTGATTTGCTACTTTCCAACGATTTTGTCGCGACAAACATGTGGGCTTGGATTACTTTGATACGATAATCCAAGGCCCAATGTAAAATTTTTTCTTGTTGGCCTCCGTACAACAATTTTTTTTTATCATTTAAAAAGAAAACCCATTTGAGCATGCGTTAAGAGATTGTGAAATGATAGCACGAGAGATCAACAACTTGGGCAAGAACACTCCGGGAACACAAACTCAGCCTGTGTGTAGCCTCACTTTGTCGGAATTTAACGTGTCGTTATCCCCTAAATTCCTAACACCTTGTTCTTGAACTAATACATCCAATCTGGTTGCCTCCGACATTTTAGAATCTAAGGCGAAATCGATAAATGAGATTTTTTTATTTTAAAATTAATAATAAATTTAATTTTTTATTTTATTAAATACGAAAAAATTAATTTAAATTTTATATTCAAATTTTTGTTATTATATTCGAAGTTAATGGTAAGAGAGAGAGAGAGAGATTGAAAAAATAGTAAGTTTAAACTTAATTTTTTTTAGGGTTAAAACTAGATGTTTTAGTAGCCCTTTAGTTTTACATTTAGTTTATTTTTTTGTTATTTTAAAAAATAAATTTTAGGATTTTTTAATTTTATGACTGAATTAATAGGCCCAATCTATTTAAAGTTGAAATATTTTGTTTAGGCATAAATTTAAATTTTTTGTTTGGACTATTACTGTACATCTATATATTATGGATCTTTCTTGAAGTGAGGCCTTAAATTTTTTTTTTTTATTGGACTTATATTTTTATAAGGCCATTTTGTAGGACTTCAAAAATTTATAGATATAATTTTTTTACATAAATTATTTATGATATTTAAAAATTTGGGCCCTTTTGTAAAAATGGGGCCTAAAACCCAAACTTTTTTTATTACACTTTTGAGCCGCCCCTGCATCCAATTGCTCTTTGAGCTTTGTAAGACTCGCTTCCAAACTTCGAAACCGATCCACCAGTGCTCAGTAGAGAATTGTCTCCAACTCGTCATCGTATCCCATGGTGGTTGTAGTGAATACAATAACATTGCATATTTGAACTTAGAGTATTAGCATAAGAAGTAGATTTTCTATACAATAACCAACTACCCATAAATCACACTGAATAGAGATTTTCTATATTGTTTCATAAAATTTGGAAATCAATTAAGAAGTAGATATTATTCATCTTCTTCTTATGCTAATACTAAGTTCAAATATGCAATGTTATTGTATTCACTACATTAATTTGATGAATTGAATGTTAATTTGATAAATTAATTTTTAATTGGATAAAATTAAATGTTAATTTGGTGTTGATTTGATGAAATTACATGTTAAGTTGATGAAATTGAATGTCAATTTGAACCTGTGGATACAATCAGATCCTACTCTTTTCAAGGGATACAAAGAATTGTCACCTTGGTTTGAACCTGTGGTAACTAATACGTTAATGATTGTGGGTTCGGGATGTACTGTGGACTACTGGTGTGATAATTGGACTGGATTTGGTCCTTTAATTCTTAGGAACTCTGTAAAACCATCTGCTTTTCCAAAACCAGCTCAACTCTATGTCAATGGTCAGTGGAAATTGGAAGGAGTGCAACATATAATGGATGCTCATTTGTTTGAGGAGGTTTCATCTATTCAATTGCAATTGAATCCCAGACAAGATAAACTTATTTGGATGCACAATTCATTAGGGCTTTTCACTGTGAAGTCAGCATGGCATACTATACGAACAGAAGGCAGTCTAAATTTTACAGCTAATAATATCTGGATGCAGCGGGTGCCTCCAAGTGCCCAGCTAGTGGGATGGAAGATACTACAAAACTCCTTGCCTATGGACTCTACTTTTCAGAATATAGGAGTAGCTCTTGCCAGTAGATGTGTCCTATGTGACAGTGATTGTGAATCAGTACAACACATTTCATTCAATGCAAGTATACAAGTTCAATTTGGAGCATGCTCGCAGTAAAACTAGGATTACAGGTAATTGTGAATGAAGAACCTTTAACTAGATTCATGAGGTTGGTGAAAATATTTAAGCATTCTTCAATAAGTCATGCCTTAATGAGAGGAGTATCTCTTTTGGTCTACTGGCAAATATGGAAGGAGAGATGCTGGAGGTTGTTTGAAGATCAGAGGTTGCCTACAACTGCACTGGTTAGAATTATCCTTCATTTTTTAAGGTTGCAGGTATATAATATTTGTCCCAAAGCAATGGATTCATTGCAAGAATTGGAGTTGCTTCGCTCCCTAAATGTTTCTAGGCCTTGTTCTGTTAAGATGCTTACATGGTGGATAGCTTGGAAACATCCACAGGAAGGCGTCCTAAAACTTAACATTGATGGAGCATCAAAGGGCAACCCAGGATCATCTAGAGGTGGGGGTAGTAATTCGGAACTCTAATGGTCAGATGGTTCTTGCAGGTTCCTATTTCTATGGAGGATGTACTAATATGGAGGCAGAGATTAGGGCATTGTTGAGTGGTCTTCGTCTGCTAAAGGACTATGGCCTTCAGGATTATTCTTTCGTTATTGAAACTGACTCTCAGCTTCTGGTAGACATGGTCAACCAAAAGGTGCAGGTGGTTTGAAAATTTTGGGATCTATTTGATCAAATCAACTCTATTCTTCAAGGTTTTACGTTTGTAATACAACACACTTATCCTGAAGGTAACGCTGTTGCAGACTCATTGGCAAACAAAGGGGTCACAGACAGGGATTATACTATCTATGATTCCACTAATGCCCTGCCAGTTCCCACAAGACTTCTTATGCAATAGGATTCAAGGAATATCAGAAGCTTAAGAAAATGTCTTCGAAAGTTCTCTCCAAATTTGAGATAAGGATTCTAGAAATTAAACATAAAAAACATGCAGTTGTCTTATACAGTTCTTAGCAGTATTCTGGGTTTTCATATAATCCACACATACTGTCAATCAATTACGGGCAGAATCAGGGATTACAGGAATTTAAAATCAAGAGGATTCGCTAATTACCTCTTGAGGCGACTGCAGTTGTTGCTCCTCCACCATTTTAATGAAGAAGACGGTGGGGCTCATTTTGGCCTCTTCAACTTCTTGGGTCTGTTCTTCACGCTCCAGATCTTCATAATCTCTTTGGTCTGCTTCCAGAGGACAGTTAATCATATGTTGTTTCAGAGCCATTTCAATGCCTTCTAGCCTTTGGGGCTCCTTACCTTTCAATGGCGGTTCTTCTGCAACAGAGCTGGATGAATTTCTCCATGGATTTGCACATTTCTTGCAGGTGATCTTCTCTATACTCCCATCTGGTCAGACTTCTTGGAGAGGTCTTCACAGAGGTCTCTCTTCGATATGGATGGGCTCATAACTCTCATATCTTCGAAATAATCTACCACATTGACATAAAGAAGAGGAATTTTGGGCCTAATTCAATCCAGAGAATTTCTTACGAGGACTCTTATTTTAAGTCAAAGGATTCTTTGTGGCTTTTTCTTCTCTTGACTGTTGGGATTCCTAGTTTCAAGTCGTCTTCTGCATTGGATTTCCTATACCTCTCTGCTTCTTGGAACCTTTTGGGATTCTTTGCATCTGCGTTTTGGAGGCCAGCATTTCTGCAATACCATTTGTTCAGAGCTTCTTTCTGCACCTTCATGGCAAAGAGAGCTCTGGAGGATCTGGGATTCTTCATGGATTTTCTTTCGTGCTCTCTCATTCTGCAGGTTCAAGGACCCTTCTGCTGCTAGTGGCTCTGGATTTGTTCAAATCATGTGGATGTCGATGGTATTTCTCTCTCAGGGAAACACAGGGACTAGAACAATCAAAACTCTATCTGGATCAAAAGGCAGATTCCTCTCTGAAGATTAAACGTATTAGTCTTTCTGTCTTCTCATGGCAGATGAGGAGTCATTTTTTTTTTGAACGGATGAGGAGTCATTTGACTTATCAGAAAAGCAGGGCTTCATTTCATTCGGTGCATCTTTCGAAGTTAATCTTTTTAACTGACTTATCTATAAGGAGGCTACCTCATATGCTGCCTTTTCATCTGGCCTTATCAGCTACAGCCCACAGCTCAAGGCTTATCAGAATATTCCTCCTCTCGGTTGGACCCCCCCAGCTCAGTCACCTCTCTTAGCTCAAGCTATTAGCTATTTTAGATATTGTCATCTGCTCAGCTACCTTTTCACCCAACTCTCGCAGCTATTGCATTATTGCAGCCCATACTAAAGTTGCACTTTTCAGCTAACCATATTATTTTAGGAGCAGCATGATTAGGGTTTATTTTATTTCACTTATTATGTATTAATCATGCATTTTGCTCTCCTTTTGTTCTGTGTAATTAGATTGCATCGAGGGGTAAGATATATATGTCCCCCCTTACTAGGTGTAATTTAATTTTTACTCAATAAATCTCCCTCGCACCATCGAGGTTCCACAAAAAAAAAAGTCAATTTGATAAATTTGAGTGTTAATTTGATAATTTGAATGTTAATTTGATGAATTGAGTGTTAATTGAATGAAATTGAAAGTTTAATTGATTAATTTAATGATGAATTTCCATAATCATTTAATTAACATTCAATTTTATCAACTAAGTTTAGAGGGTGAAAGGAACACTAAGTTTTATCATGCTGTGGCAAAAGGAAAATCAGTAAGAAATAAGCTTCAAAAGATAAAGAATGATGAAGGAATATGGTTGGAGGATGAGCAGCAGATCGCTCTTTGTGCTGAGCAGTTTTTTACTAGGCTTTATGCCTCAGAGAATCACACTCTTGATGAGGAGTTGTTTTCAGTTATTCCAACTTTGGTTGCTGAAGCTGATAATTCTATGCTTACTGCACAAGCTACTATGGAGGAAATACATGATGCTGTCTTTGCTATGCCAGTTGAAAGTGCCCCAGGAGCTGATGGCTTCTCTGAAAAATTTTATCAGGTAGCATGGGAGATAATTAAAGAAGATATTTTTCTTCCTGTAAATTATTTTATGAAGGGGGGGAGCCATACCAAGGTATGAGGCAGCCTCAAGGCAAACAGTGAATTTGTCTAAAAGCTCAATGTTTTGTTCATCACATATATCGCCTGCAAGAAGAGGAGTTTTGTATCGTGCTTCACAAATTTCTATTAGGAATTGTCCATTTACTTACTTAGGTTGTCCTATTATTAAGGGCAGACCTAAGATGATCTACTTTGAGGACTTGTTGCAGAAGTTTAGATCAAGAATATAGGGGTGGTATGGCTAGATGTTGTCTAACATGAGTCGAATACTTTTGGTCCAGTCAGTTTTAAGTGCTTTGCCTGTGCATCTTCTAGCATGTATGAATTTTCCCAAAGGTGTTATTGTAAGAATGAATTCTATCATGGCATCTTTTATTTGGTCTAGCAAAACTACAGCTAGGAAAAGGCATTGGTGTTCATGGACTAATGTGACGGTTCCAAGGGAAGAGGGTGGTCTTGGGTTAAGGAAGTTTGAGGATATTGCCAAAGCTTTTTGGATGAAATAGGTTTGGAATCTGTTGAATGGGTCTTCTCTCTTGTCCAAGATTTTCTCTGTTAAATATCTTCATAGACAGCATGTTCTTAGAAGCTTGAGGCATTCTTATTCAACAAGCTACATAATGCTGTCTCCATGGTTTGAGCCTGTGGTCTTGCATACACAAATGGTAGTGGGAGATGGGGCGGATGTTGATTTCTGGTGTGATAGTTGGACAAGTCAAGGTCCATTAATTTTGAGAATTCATGAGCATCCACAATATTTTCCTAAGCTGAATGAAGTTTATTCTAATGGCCAGTGGGATTTATCTTTATGCACTGAGTTGTATGATCAATTGATTGGTGAGATTACCTCATGTCAAATTTCTTATTTTGATAAACAGAATCTTAGAGTTTGGACCCCATCATCTATAGGCGAGTTTTCTTTCAAAACAGTATGGTCTATATGTAGGCAGCATAGGTTGCCAAATTTGACTGCAGGACTTATCTAGAAGCAATAAATAACACCTAGTGCTCGCCTTGTGGGTTGGAAGATTTTGCAGCGTGCTCTTCCATTGGATTCTAATTTTATGTCCATTGGCATTGCTATAGCAAGTAGGTGTTCATTGTGCATGCAAAATTCTGAAAACAGTGGACCACTTGTTTACTCAATGTTCATATACTCAAGTTGTATGGGCAGCCTTTTCTTCTTTAATGGGGTTCACTTTGGTGCTAGGTGAAGGGCCTTTAATGAGGTTCAGGAGGTTGTCCAGAATTTATGCTAAGCATTCTATTACACATGGTCTTATAAGAGGAGTTTCTTTGATTATATTTTGGCAAATATGGGCAGAAAGGTGTAGAAGGATGTTTGAAGGTTCACGGTTGAATTCTGCTGCTTTGGTTATTAGAATTAGGCACATTATATCTTATCAGAGGTATGTTATTAGTCCTAAGGTTACAGAACCAAGGCAAGGGCATGAGCTTCTTTTATTTGAATGTCAACCCTTCAACAATCAGAACAAGGGTATTATGGGTCTCTTGGACTTATCCAGTTGATGGTTTGTTAAAGTTAAATGTGGATGGATCAGCGAAAGGAAATCCTGGGTGTTCCGGTGGAGGTGCTGTCTTGCGTAATCAGAGGGGGCAGCTAGTTTTAGCAGCTTCTAGATACTATGGGATAGGTACTAATATGGTAGCTAAAATCCGGGCTTTGGTGGATGGGTTAAAGCTATATCATAATTTTGGTTTGTCTGAATACCAGCTTATCATTGAGACAAACTCTCAAATTCTGGTGAATATGGTTAAGGATCAATTTAATGCAGCTGGAAGTACAGGCCTTTAATTTATCAGTTGCAGCAGCTTTTCCATGCTTTAAAGTTTGAAATTAATCACATTTATCGTGAGGCAAACTTAGTTGCTGATTTTTTAGCTAATCAAGGTGTTGAGGATAGAGCTGATAAAGAGTATGTTTCAGCTGGTATGCTTCTAGCCGAGGGGAGAAATCTTCTTTTACAAGATCAACTACAGCTGAGATCTCTTCGTAGGAAATATTATGATGCTTCTTGGACTGTTCATTGATGATTCTTATTACACAACTGAATTTTTGCTGGACTTTTATTACTTGGGATTCTATCTTTCCAGATTAGCGAATAGCAGTGAACTCTTTACACATTCAGCTGGATTATTTTAGCTTATGTAGGAATTTCGTCACTCTATCAGCTGGTTTTTTCTGGCAGCAGGGTATATATCAGCTGGACTATTCAGCTACATTCAGCCGGACTATTTTTTAGCTGGACTGTTTATTTGGATAGCTTTGCAGCTGGACCTTTATTTTTTTGGTTGGTATTTAGATGTTAAGCAGCTGGTTTGGGGGTTATCGTTTCTAGCAGCATTAACTGTTCACATGACTGTTCATGTCTGCTGATTTTTGTTCTCCTTCAGCTGAATTCTCTCAGCAGGAGTCTCTCAGGATTCTCTTTCTTACTCAGCAGGACTTCTATTTTAATTGGGGAATGTCATCACTGTTCACGATACTGTTCCATATAGCTGAAAGACAACTGGTGCTTCAGTTGGTCTTATCCTCACAAGTCTCCAAGTCAGCTGGTTTCTTTTTAAATTTCGGGATAATATTGTTGGTTAAATGGATCATATCAACTGGATTTTTTGCTTATCTCTATTGCCTCTCCTCTATAATGGACTCTATTTAGCTGGTCTTTTATATCAGCTAGATTCTGGGAACAAGATAAAAGCTTCAACGTTTATCAGCACAGCAACATTCAGCTCGTCTTATCCAGCAATCCGTTTTTTCTTATCAACTGGACTTCAAGAGTTAGCGAAGGAGTTCAATTATCATTATTGAATGGACTCTTTTGAATTCTCAAGCAGTAAGACTTTGATGATTTGATGAGACTTCTTAGCTTGGGGATTTTATCACTCACCAGACTTCAGAATGTCAAGCTACTTAGGAATCTAATTAATTTCCTTTCTTTATTTTAAAATGCATTATGATGTAATTGCATGCATTATTTTTGATTTTATTTACTTGACTCATAATGTATTAGATGCATATTGAGGTAAGGCCCATACGTCCCCCTCACTAGGTGTAATTTCGTTTGACAATTAATAAATTTCCTCCTACCGTCGAGATTCATAAAAAAAAAATATTTGGTGTTAATTTGATAAATTAAATTTTAATTGGATGTAATTAAATGTTAATTTGGTGTTGATTTTATGAAATTATATGTTAATTTGATGAAATTGAATGTCAATTTGATAAATTTGAATGTTAATTTCATGAATTGAGTGTTAATTGAATGAAATTGAAAGTTTAATTGATTAATTTAATGTTGAATTTTCATAATCATTTAATTAACATTCAATTTTATCAACTAAGTTTAATTTGATATATTGAATGTTAATTTGATGAATTAAATTTTAATTGGATGTAATTAAATGTTAATTTGGTGTTGATTTGATGAAATTACATGTTTATTTGATAAATTAAATTTTAATTTGATGAAATTATGTTAATTTGGTGGTTATTTGATGAAATTACATGTTAATTTGATGAAATTGAATGTCAATTTGATAAATCCAATTGTCAATTTGATAATTTGAATGAGAATTTGATGAATTGAGTGTTAATTGAATGAAATTGAAATTTTATTTGATTAATTTAATGTTAACTAGTTTATTTGAATGTTAATTTAGTGAATTAAATGC